ATGAGAAAGTACAAAGTGCTAATTGTCCTTGGGATGTCATCATTGTGCATAGTTTACTGGCAGCTGCCAAACATCTTGGGGACTCATTAGAATGCAGGCAAACAAAATATTTTGTTTGGATCTTTAGAGCGCTGTTGAATGGCATTAAACGTTACAGCTGCCCTTTTTTGCAGACACAATGGTCCATTGTTCGTGAGAATATGTAATGGAACAAGATCCTTTCTTTCTCCCCTTGCTGACACTTTTGTGGAAAGTTAACTAGTAATTATTAGGTGTGATTTGTCCTGTGCTTTAACTGATAGTTGTTGAACAAGGTAGTAGCCTACGGGTTCAACCCAGGGGAGAAATCATTTGTAGGAAGCACTCAAAATATGTTAAGTTTACATGACCTAGTTTTAAAGCACTTCCTCAGAGCACTCATGGAAATCTTCTTTAGATGATTTCATGCTTGTAGTTCAAAGCCCTCACATTCCTGTCCTGTGACCAGATGGCCTTGTTAAATTTGTCTCTTTACAATGCCTCAGACTTTGAGGACCTCAGAGCTGACCTTGGCACTTCTAGGACTGTTTATTTAGAGGCCTGAATAAGAGTATTACATGTTGTTTTTATAATCCTTCATTTGAGCTGTAAACAGTCATTTGCGAGTTAAGGTTCAACTGGTAGCTGAAGGACAGTGAACACCTTAGAGCAGCTCTGAAGCAGATCACAGGTTTTAGAAACTGAAGCAACCCTATTTCTAAGCAGTCATTCAGGGATGGCAAAATGTCTGAGCCTTGCAGCCCCCCAGGTTCTGGAGCCACCCAGGATGAAATATTTGCCCTTCCCTGTACAGGGTAAGACATGGGATGTCTCTGACCTGCACCTTGCTGGTAGTGAGTCAATGGTGACCTTTGCCATGACTGGTGTTAACTCACTGAGCTCTGTTTCTTACAGCTGCTTCATCCCAAAATATCGTGCACCATGGGCTGCAAATGCAAGGGGGATTGGAACTGAAGTAGCACATTTACATCCCCTGTAGATGTAAATGTCCCCTTGACACGAAGGCTATTTCTGGGTGGAAACTTGTTCATGCCTCACTCAATACAAAATAACATTAAGGGAAAATGGGAACCAAGACAATAAAACTGAATTTTAATCAAGGCTATCGAATTTATATCCTTCTCTTGCTTTCTCAGATGTGTGGAGCACGTCTGTAGTTGGACTGAGGCAGGGACACTTGCAACTGTACCAAGCCAGCAGAGCTGCATGGACTTAGACCAGCTTGTGCATGTCACTTTATATCTGAGCTGAGTTCACCTGAGTTCATCACAACTTCAGCTGTGAGAGCAGTATTTGGAAAACACCTGTAATACAGTGGTTTCGTTCCATGACCACCATGAAAACTGCAGGTGCAGTGAGGCTTTAGAAGGGTGAAATTAATTGTGTGGAGGACAGTCTTCAAGGACAGAAGTTTCCCAGGAGGAAATTCAAAGATCCCCCAGACAGACCTTACCATACAACCCTGCTAGCTCTTTAATTTGGTACTTTGCTTTTTGGTTTAAGAATATTAAGGCTTCATCCAGGCACTTGTGCTGCAGTATCCTGGTGTCATAAAAGGGGCTTGTGCTCAGCAAGGCGCTGCTGCTTTCCTTGACATTAATAGATCCCAAATGTGGGCTGAAGCAATGTTTATGGAATTAAGCTTCCCCAGAGCATACTTATTGGATGGATGACAGCTCTAGTACAAATCAACACACTCTTTTCTGCTTCATTCCTCTGTGGTGAGTGAAGAAATGGGGGAGGACGCAGTGAAATGTGTTATAGCAGGGGGACTTAAATGAGGCTTAGTGACAAATGAAATGCTGACCCCTGACTCTGTAGCTTGGCACAGCTCTTTCCCAGCCTGTCTTGTTGAGGAGACCTTTCCAGGAAAACCTTTTAGCCTTAAAGCTTTTAATTTCTCCTCCCCACCCCTCACTTTCCCAGCAGGGGACTTACAGAGTAATAGAGATGCAACACAACATGGGAACCCCAGGGAAATTCCATTCCCATCCTCACATGTTGTTGTGGCCTTTCTTGTCAAGAAAAATTGTTTCCTCATCTCAAACAAACAAAATCTATCCATAAAAGAATATAAATTTTGCTATAGGAGACAGTAGGAGCTCTTATAGGTTCTACTCTGGAACCTAGCAGAAAGGAGCATTAGATTCCTACAGGGTCATGCCCTGTGTTCAAAAATCTCCCAGAAATATAACTCCAATGCCAACTATAGTTCTGCCAGCTGCAAGGAAAACTTGACTTGCACCCTGAGTTGTCAGAAACATTGC